CCCTCCCCTGCCCCCACCAGCGTTGTTGTGGTTGGCTGCGCCCCCTTCCATGACTATTGCGGCTTGGGCGTCCGGTTGCTTGAGCCCCAGGGGATGATACAGTTCCGCTGATCTCCAGAGCCAATGTTGATGATGATGACGATGGTCATGCTGAAGATGACGATGAAGATCGCGATCCCTCCGATCCTTTTCTCAAGAGTCCCGGTGGAAGTCTTTCACGAACTGAACACAAAATCTAGCCTTGCGAATAAGCGAAACAAAGAACATGCTGTACCTATAGAGCACAGCGTAAAGGCAGTGGCACTACCAACAGTCACACTCAGAATACCAGCTTGCAACAAACAGATCAGCGTCATTGTCCTCAGCATCATCGCCAACATTCTCGTTTGTGCGAGGCGGGGCGTTGCGCGATTCACGGCAACAAAGTTTCGAGCACTACGCGAGAGTTCCAAAAAACGTCGTCGAGAGCTACTAAGATAATATCCTAAACTGTAAACCCTAAACTCCCTGACCCCTAAACTTGCTCGGATTCGAAGCCTGGCGTGGCATAATAAAGGGGGGGCACTGATGCGGTGACGTGTAGCCCGAAGAGTCTCTTTGTGGCGTCGGTGCACCAGTCTCTGGACAGTTCGACTCCACGCGGCCCGGAACCTAGATAGTATTCCTTTGCACTGGGAATGCCGGTGCAAGTAAGTCTACGGTGATATTCCCCAAAAGCTTTTCTAAATATCGCGATCCATGTGTGTGTGTGTGTGTGTGTGTGTGTGTGTGTGCGCGTGTGTGTGTGCGTGTGTAATATTATAATTATTGTAACTATACTTATAACTACTTATAAGCCCAATTAAGGTACTTATAACCTTACTTACTAAGTCCCATGATCCTCCAAGTAAGCGTCTCTACATCACATGCGTCTGATATCGAAACCCCGACCCCCAAGCCGTCAAACCCCAAAGCGCTCAACCCCTAAACCTCCAAACAATATCAACCAATTTCAATGGAGTCGAGGGTTTATTCCAGGCCTTCTCGGAGTTGGGTGATGAGTTGGGCTTCTCGCGACCTGCACCGGGCAGGTAAGGTAATATCGACGCCTGAAAACGTAGTAACTAGATATTCCTTAGACTTCCTTTTACATGGAAATGTTCTAATCGAATATACCCAAAAACATCCGTTCTATCTTTTACGGCCACTCTATACTACGGGGGAGGGTATTCTGACATCGGCGATCCGGTTCAGCAGCCAGAATCCATTTGAGTGGTTGTCAAAATTATGGTTCCATTTTGGGTACCCTAAATAGTATACCGTATTGTAATAGGGACCCAAAACGGACCCTAATTTTGACAACCACCCATTTCAAGGCATGAGAGGCACTCTCTCTTTGCCTGGCGGCCGCTGCCTCCTGCAGTTCTTCCTGACTCGATCCTGTGATCGGAAGGCCCCCAAGAGGTTTGGGGTAATAGGCTAGTATAGACTAGTTTATACTTTGGGGGCTTAAATATCTACGAAGTAGCTAACTACATTGGTACTTGGACTTTTTGTGGTTGGGTGTGGCTACGTTCGTGAAGCCATGCAGTGTTTGTTTTTGGGAAGGATGGACCTCTCCGAGAAGTATATAAGATCCCGAGAGCTGGGACACTGATTGTTGGATTACAGTAGACAGCAGCACAGTCACTCTTGCAAGCATTTGGCGGGCATCGTTTCGGGAACTTCCCCGCGGCTGCCGAGTGTAACGTGTCTCCGCAAGTTCCGCAAGCACGACCACATCATGTCTGCAGACCTCTTTACACTGCAGCTTTACAATGGTTAAACCCTAAACCCTGAACCATCAAGGAAAGAAGAAGTCTCAGAGGTTTTTTGGGAGTTCAGTTTCCGATGCCGAGGTGTGAACCCGGTATGTTCCTAAGGCAAGTCTTCATTTCTGAGTTGACTGTGTCAGGGTTTCGAAAAGGGTTTAGGATTGTATAGGCTGCAGGGCCATTTAGGGTTTAGGGTCAGGGCGACATTAGGTTAAGGACCCAAAGCCCGTGCTGAAAACTCCATGCAAAAAGGGCTTGTCTGAGGCAGCACGGAAGCAGTTTAGCCCTGGAAAGTAAATCTGTTTTGCATGCGCGGAGGCCAGTCATTTGGACAAGTGTTGCGGCAGTGGACTTCATCAGTCGTGAGAGATTGATTCTAGGCAGTGCCTCAACCTTTACTCGGTCGGACATCCCAAGTGTGGCACCTGGGGCAACCATTCCGCTTCAAATTGCAATCGGTGCGAAGTCAATGCTCACGTCCTTGCTAAGCCCTAGACCCTACATCCATACACCCTCAACGATCAAGTCCGCAGCCTCAGTCATGATCAGGCATGTCTTATTGGCCCCAAGCTCCCGCAAGACTGTCACAGCCAAAACCAACCGTTCAAAGCCCAGTAGTTCCAAACCCCAAAGCTCTACCTAGAATTCTGAGGGATACAACACCTTAAACTCTAATTCGTGCCATCCCTGTAGCGGGTTCGAGCTCGACTTAACAATGCAGGATAAAAAGCCATCTAAACCCCACCTAGACCCTATAAGCCCTGAACCGTAGAACCAACCCTGGGGTCTAAGCGCTGGCAGGCCCTTCTGCCCGTTGACTCAGACAGTGACACCGGCTCCTCTGCTTCTTCGCCTTCTTCAACGCATTCCTAAGGCGCTCCATGTCCCACGTCCTCAATATCGGAAACCTCACAAGGTGGGATGAAGGTAGGTGGGATTAAGGATCCGTTATACAAGGACTCTTATATGGGAATATCCCACCTACCTTCATCCTACCTTTTGAGGCCCCCGACAATAGCTTTACCCTGTAGCCAAAAAAGATCTATACCGGGGTGTATGATGATATACTGCCATGGTGGAAGGAGAACTCCGAGAAGATCCAAAAGCCTCCCTTCTTGGATTGGAGCTCCTGATTATGGCTTCTAAACTTACTTCCTGAACAAAGGCAGGCGGTTCGGGGCCACATGTAGTGTGAAGCATTTACGAGCATTGTGGCTCCAGGTCCCCGATGATCAGCTTTCTATGGAAGAACTTCTCAAGCCAAAGACTCTGCAGTTTAGGGTTAAAATAAAGTTAAGCTAGACCCTAAACCCTAAGCCCTATAAATCCTAAGCCCTCAAACCCTAAGCCCTTGAACCCTAAGTCCCAAATCCTAAACCCTCAAACTCTCAAACCCTAAACCCTTAAACCCTAAACCCTAAGGCGTGCAGCTTAGGGTTCAGGGTTCAAGGTCCCTGCGGTGTAGGGTTTTTGGGCTTTAAGGGTTCTGCCGTTGAGAGTTAATTGGGGGTGCTGAAAAGGGTTTAAGGGTCCTGCAGTTTGGGTTTGATTAGGGTTTAAGGGCCCTGCAGTCTAGTGTTTAATTTGGGGTTAAGCATGCAGTCTAGGTTTAAATCCGGTCGGCTCACCGTCCAGTAGGAAACCTGAAACCTTGGTAATGTGAAGATTGTGTTTCCGTTTGGAGCTTTGCAGCCTGAACCTCAAGGCAAAAGCATGCGAGGGTTCCCCGCTCGCGGGTTGACCATTCTGGTCCCCAGAGACTCCAATATCCCTTAATTAAGGAATATTCCTTAAATCATATTGGGGATCCTACTATAATTTAAGGAATATTCTTTAATTGAAGGATATTGGAGTCTCTGGGTCTAACAGGTTTTTGAGGGTGGTCGAAAGCGAACGGAGGCATCTTTAGTGGTCTCTTCAGACACCTTGGTTTTGTGGATTCCCTTCCGGTGAGGGTTGTCTTGGGCTCTATGCTTCATCTCCGGCCCTCAAAGAGTTTTGAGGTTCATCCTTCCTTCGGCAGACCCTGCCATTAAGGATGCCATAGCATGGCCTCACAACAACGGCCCCAAGGTAGATCACACAGGCAAGGTCGAAGAGCAAGTCGAACTGTTGCGTACAAGACCAAGAAGCAAGCTACTTGTGTTTCGTGCTCTTTGGACTTACATTGTCCTAGGAGTAAGTAGTACTCCCTGTCAATCCGGTCAGGTGCTGGTTCGCCCGACTCGATGCGCGACCAAAAAGCGCAGAAAGATTGACAGCAACCGACTCTTCGTCGCGGCTTCGCCTTGGACGTCGTAGCAGGAGTGGTCGTCGTCGCCGTGGTAGTAGTCGTAGTCGTCGTCGTCGTCCTAGTAGCAGTAGCAGGAGTAGTCGTACTCGTACTCGTACTCGTAGTAGCAGTAGTAGTAGTAGTAGTCGTCGTCGTCGTAGTAGTAGTCGTAGTAGTAGTCGTAGTAGTAGTCGTAGTAGTAGTCGTAGTAGTAGTCGTAGTCGTAGTAGTCGTAGTCGTAGTAGTGGTAGTAGTGGTAGTAGTGGTATAGTAGTAGCAGTAGTAGTAGTAGTAGTAGTAGTAGTAGTAGTAGTAGTAGTAGTAGTAGTAGTAACAGTCGCAGTAGCAGTAGCAGCAGCAGCTGTACCAGCGCCAGAGAATACTACCACAGTCACCGCCACCACTACCGCTACACTGAAGCTGCCATTACATACCACTACTGCGACAACTGCTGCTACGCAACGCTACCACTCCTGCTCCGATAGCTACGACACATGCGACCTGGACGACCACGGGGAGGACTGAAGCAGCAATGCCTTCCACTGCCACATCAACTGCTGTTCTCCTCATTGCACCAGCCATTGTTTGAAGCCACGGCGTCGTAAAGGACGGTGCCGAGATGTGCCGAGCACCTAGCCAGTACACTCATCATACGGCTTGGCATAAAGAACCAGACAGCGGTATCAATCAGTCTCTCTTTGTGCAAAAGCTTGCATTCCAAGCAGCCTTTACCCGCCAGATGGCTGCTCCAAGCACGTTGTGTCTTTGTGTCTTGTGGACAAAGCACAGATAGCTTCAGTACATAGAGCAGCACATAGAATTGCAGCTCCATGAAGTAACGTGGGTTCATGACGATGGTGTTTCGGTTAAGGGTTTAGGTTGATCTGGGAACGCTGTGATCGCAACTGGGCAACAGCAGGGGAGGCAATGGAGCCATGCGGAGCTCCTGCAGATACACCACACAAGAGGCTTTGGCTTTGCACGAGTCTGTTCCTCCCGACCATTGGTGCGTCACGCGCTCAGATCTGAAGCACTTGCGGCGGGAAGTTCTGAAGGCTATCGAGAATGGCGAGATTGGGCCACCAGATGACGGGACTGACGATTTTGCGGTCTCTGACAAGCAATATGGGCCCAGCATCTACACCGTGAACAGGCAGTACATCATGCCAGTTACACAGGATGCAGGGAAGGTTAGCTGGGCTTTGATGCGACACCCTGCTGGCCTGGAGTGTGACTTGTTCATTAGCCACGCATGGCAAGAAGGCGTATTCGAGTTCCTGTCCAAAGTATTACATTCTTGGCCCAGAGCTGCTCGGCATGCCTGGTGCTGCATGCTGGCCAACCCACAGAATCTGGATATTGGGGCATTGCTGCAGTCTCCCAGCAACTCGCCCTTTGCGCTGGCACTTCAGGCCGTACACCCTATGTTCGTGGACCTACGATAGAGCTACCCCAACTACGGCTAAATTTGTAACCCTAAACTCTCTATCCCTAAAAGCAAGGTGAGAGGCAAACATGTCCTGTAGCAAGTTTTGAAAGCGAAACTCAGCAGTCGGGATAGTAACCTTCAACTTTTCCGGGGCATTACAATCCCAAAATGATCCCAAAGGTTCATATTTAGTGACCCTAGGATACAGGAACCCTACACCCCGAACCCCTAAACTCCTGACCCTAAACCCTAAACCCTATGTAAGCCGCATTCAGGCCTCGACGTGGGTCCTGGTTGTCCCAAACCGCCACTGCAGTATCTACACGAGGCAGGTGTTTGGTTTCGAAAAGGTGTCGTTGACGTGGGAGTAACCTGATACTACCAGCACTCCTACCATCTGACCGCGCATGTGGTGAAACTACGTGGTTGCGGAATACATGATATCGTGCAAAGGATATATAGTCTACAGTACATTGTATGATAGCGGACGACAGGCTATTTCCGACTAAACACAAGTGGTTTCAGGGTTTAGTATTTCGGGAATTCACATTCCCGCCTCAGCCCAACGCACATTAAAGCCTTCGGTCAGTTGGACTGCCCTGTAGTGCAAATTGTCAGTGTCATGGGTTATTGCTACGCTAGTTCCTTCGCTTCGCCTTGGCACTTGGCACTGTGATTCAACTAGCCCGAGCAAATGAGTTTATCAGCTGGAGCAAATCACACCTTAAGTAAGCCTTAAGATCTCCACCCAGGCCCCAATCCACCCGAACCGATCATTTGTGTGGCTATTCTTGGGGTGTGGTACACGCTACAGTTGAAGCTTGGCTTTTTGTGTTTCGCAGGGGTTGGGAAAAGTTTTTTCATAACCATGCAGCTTGCTCAGGGTTTAGGCATTTATGCGTTCAGGGTGTTATGCTTCATGTTCGTTTCTCGGCCTCCAGAGACGCCGAATTGCCTGAGAAGGCTGTGGTGCAGCTACGAGGCATACGTTGCGCACGATGCGAGGAAGACCATATTCGTTGCCAGATCCTCCAACAGGAGACCTTGAGCGACGGTTGTAGTGAGGGTTTAGGGTTTCAGGTTGAGGGTTTAGGTTTTAAGGTTGGTTTTACGGTTGGGTTTAGGGTCTAATGACCGTATCGCAGTGCCATGACAAAGCGCCCCTCAACCAGAACAGCCCAAAGCCTCGGGCAAGAACAAAAAAGCAGCCCAATGACACCCTGCACCCTAAACCGAAAAGCCCTAACCCCCAAAATTCAAAACCTCAACCCGTGAAGCAATGCGGGCCTCGTCCTTGCGAAGCAGGACCTTAAACTACCATATCCTACTTTATTGTAGGTTCTTAATATAAGCCTCAAAATGGCAATTATAGGGACCCTACAAAATAGTAGGTTTTGGTAGTTCAAGGGAGGACAACGCCCCTAAAGCTTTCTCGCAGATTAGTTTCACTCCGACTCGCCTGGATTCTGGGAGTGTGAGCGCCGAAACCCTGGGCACCCTTACTAAGGACCCGAATACCCCTAAAGAATCCTAAATGACACCTCTTGGCGGCAAGAAGTTCTAAACCGAAGCGACAAACAACAAAAAGTCGGAAAGGAGGAAGATTTGCGCTGCCCTCAGCCAAGCCCTTCTCGCAGGCTCGGCTGCACAAACTGAAAGCTCGGAAGGGTTTAGGGTTGATGATCTTTTGGAGCTTCTAAGCAAGCAGGGCTCAGGGTTTTGTGGGTTTGGGGGTCCTTATGATTGTTCTTAGGAGTCGAACTGTCGAACTATGCAGTTGTTCGGGGGCAGTTTGCGAGCAGGATGCAATATTTGGGTATACAGGGCATTATAGGGGCCGAAGACTTGCGGCTGACAGCGGTTCAGGGTGTCGTGGGCGGTTGTACCCCCTTTGCCTCTTCGGGAAGGGTTTCTGGGGTTGTGATCATATCAGAATAACGTGAACTTCTTCCGCAGTCTGTGCAGGGCCCTTGACCCTCAAAATGCCTGACCGCTAAACCCCTACGGCCCCAACAAGACACCTCGCCGACCAGGCCTTGCGGGTGTGTTCCTGGCACTTGCGATGGATCGCTGGAGGACCCACGGCAGCAGAACATGAAAGCCTGTTTCGGGTGTTCAAGGTTCAAGGGTAGGCCGTGTTCGAGGTCACTAGCTGCCGGCTATTGCCCCGACTACTACTACGACCATGACGACGACCCCGACCACGACCACCAGCACTACCACTTCCACTACTGCTAGTACTACTACTACTACTACTACTACTACTACTACTACTACTACTACTACTACTACTACTACTACTACTACTACTACTACTACTACTACTGCGACTGCGACTACTACTACTACTACTACTACTACTACTACTACTACTGCTGCTACGACATCCATGACTGTCAGCGGAAAGCATGGCCCAGAGCGTTAAAAGCCAATATGCTAACCTTTCGACCCGAAACGTAGAAATTACCTATAGTATTTTAGGGGGTTCTTTATTTCAATAATAGTATCATATAACCCCAAACCCTATTCTAATGATTAAGGCCCCTTCTTCTTGCGAGTCTCCCTGAGGCATTCCTGGCGACACCATGTTGTCGGCCTGGTCGCACTCTGCATGGTCGTAGCTATTGCTCTCGCGAGCGCTGCACTTCAACACAACGGAAGCCGAATGGCTCTGAACTGGCTTGGTGCATTTGTCTCGGGTTTTCTGCGCCTCGGCTGTTACAGCACATTAACTCTTTTGCTTGGGGTGCCCAGGACGTGACAGTCCAGTCCAGGAACGCATGTGATGTGGGGGGGCTTTTCTTTCTAGGCTTTGGAGGTCGCAGTCCAGAGCCTCAAGGGATCTGTAATATAGCGGCCTTATAAACCTATAGTATTTTGGGAGTTCCTTATTTTGAATACAGTATCATATAACCCAAAACCCTATTCTATTGATTAAGGCCCCTATGTTCACAATTTTCAAGTCAAGCAAATGTCTGTCTAGGGCAACTTGCATATTAAGGGGTTGTCCCTAAACCCTAAACCCTAAACCCTGTGGGCCTGGACGGACCCATCATCTTCGGCATCAGGCTTACACAGAAGCCATCCTTGAACCGGAAGCCTAGGCCGAATTTGCATGATTTCCCAGGGACATGTCGTGGCTTGTTGATAAGTTCCTAACTTTGGCTTGTCAGACTTGTTGATAGAAGTTTGCAACTACTCCTGTCTGGCAGCCTCATGGCAAAACTCTAGACCTAGACTCGTACACCCAAACCCTAAACCTATAAACTCTACACCCCTGAGCCCTGAAGATGCAGGCTCCGCACCAAGTCGAAATCCAAAGCCCTAGACTCCCTCGAGAAGTGTACCAGGCGTAGAAACCCGAAACCCCAATTCCAAAGCCATCGCTAAGCTAGGTAGGGCTTTGGGACATTTTATATTTTCCCTTATTGGGCTTAAGAGGATCTTATTTACTAATATTTGTCAAAGGCTTTAAAAGCCCCACCTAGTAAGCCCTCATCTCAGGACTATCCACTGGTACCCTATCCACGGTGCTCTAGAACTCCCAGGAGCCGGAACATAAGGGTTATACGGCAATGGTTGTGTTTGTTTGTTTTGTTTTGTTTTTCTGTTTCGTGTTGTATAATACAAAGTATATATGTACATATGTATATAACTATATATGTATGTATGTATTGCACACCATGGTCCATATACATATATATATATATATGTATATTGTAGGTTTTAATTAGATGATCTATGTACATAAAGGGTTACTACCAGGGTTCCTGCAAGGGCTATTGCGGGGGCTCCTTGTTGCTGATTCTTGCGGTCGCCTGGGGCCCCGTCGGAGTTTGTCAAGGTTCCCGGTTGCTAGGCTACTGATCGTCATGGTCTTCCAGCTTGTGTGTTTAGGCAAAGTTTAGGCTTTTCCTGGTTGGGCGGCTGAGTGGTTTTAGACATCTGCCAGTGGAAGGAAAATCGGACGAGTTGAACCTCGCAGAGCAGCGACTGCTTTTGCTCATTGCTGCAAGCTTCTTCTACTTGATGGAGGCAGCGCGGCTGTGATACCCACGTCGACCAGCAACAAGCAACAAGCGCAATAATTTCCGTTGTCTAATCCCTAGGGCTCCAGTTACTTCAATAGTAGGTTATCAACCAAACCCCAGTAGCCTACTAATTATTTAGTAACTGGAGCCCTAGGGTAAACACAAAACGCAATCAAACGATTTGATTATTAAAGACACCTATCGGCCTTAACTTGTTCCTATCAGCAACCCATAGTCTCAACCTTAGTTAAAAGCACTACTTCAACGGGAAACCCCTGAAAGCTTTAGGGCCGCAAAACTCCAGCCCTAAGGCCTAAAGCCTAAACGGTAGCCCCCCAAGCCCTGAAATCCTAAACCCTACCTCGAAAACCTACCGTTCCTTTCGGAAGTGTAATACATCGAAATCATAATGCGGAGCGCTAGACATGCAGGGTTTACGAACTTCAGAACTTCAGGTAAGCCCCATACCCCGAACGCATTCCAGGTCGACCGCGTGAATGGCCAGTCACGGGCAGAAGAGGCCGTGCAGCTCCGGCGAGGCTTCCGTGGGTCCCCGGGTTGTTCAATTTAAAAGTTTTGTGGTTTGGCTTTCGGCTTTTATGTTGTTTTTGTTGTGGGTGCGTGTGTTTTGCGTTAGTCGTCTTGGTCCTGTTGTAAAACAGCTGATCCAGAAATCCTAAAACCCGAAACCCCCCAAAAAAAAGTGTGGACGTTTTTGTGCCGGGATCAGTGCGCGGCCTAGGTCCATCGCACATGCGACATGCTCGGAGCCGGACGACGCAGATCGAATTCATGCGGAGACCTACAGTGCTTCAGGGTTTTCAGGGCTTATGACTTATGTTCGAGGTGTTTAGGGTTTAGGATTTGCTTCAGAGTGTAGAAGTTCAGGGATTTGTACCATCCTTTTTCGGGGTTTCCTGTCAACCTGAGCCTTAGAAGGGGGAGATTCGTTCTTTCGGCAGCTCTGTGGCGCCAGGAGATCGGCACCCAAACGGAAGACGTAGACTACGCCATCCAGGTGCCTAGGTTCCTCAGTAGTGCCCTTTGGTGTTGCTTGTTTTGGAATCCTCTGTTAAAACGAAATAGCAGGAAAAAGGGTAACCTTCTATTATAAAGGCGCTACTCAGGAACCTAGGTGCTTTTGACTGCTGGGATGTCGACACCGACGCTCCGAGACGTTGCGCGTGCAGGTGTAGGGATTCAGGACGCAGGCCATGCAGAGATCGCCGTCCCATTTCTGGCGTTGATTCCCTTCACTGCCATGTCCATTTTCAGTTTCTGCATCAACTTCGAATACCTGCCGGAAGCTGCATGGGTGTACTACGTGCTCCAGGTCTATCCGATTCTCTGTCGGGTCGCCCTTCTCCTCGTCATCTCTCGCAGTGCCACGGACGAGCGGTGCTTCATCATGAAGATGATGACCAAGCTGGTTGCCATCTACCTCGCCGTGATTTGCCCGATCCTGGTGCATAGGGAACCCGGACCCCAAGTCCTGTATTTATCTGTCCTATACTCGAACATGATTAAACATTAGCATGTGTCTGTGATGCGACGGCCAAAAGGGGCCAATCGGAAGTCCAAGCCCACAAAGCTCAGGGCTTTTCGGGTTAGGGCCCCGATTATTAGGAGAAGCTGATATATTGAGAAATATTGAGGGTTCTTTATCTTAATGGCCCCTATAAAAAGAGCGCTACTATCTTGGGGTCTATACGGGGGTCCCTTGTTCCATCACTTGAAGTGGGATCTACAAGATATTTTCTTAGCGCCTGAGCCTGGGTGATCAAAACGTCCAAATCCCTGGTCCAGGTGCAATGGGAATGGTGTCTAGGCTGTTCTTGGGATGTATTTCCAGTTTCAGTAGCCTGTACATTTGATGCAGAGGTAGTAGCATGGGACATAATTACTATTTTTGGATGCCCCCAAATCCGAAACCAGCACATACAGTTTAGGCTTTTAGGGCTGCAGTTCTAAACCCCAAAACCTCAAAACCGAGACCCAAGACCCTCAACCCCAAAACGCCCAGAAGAGCAGCTCAGGTACGGTTCCAGTGGGCATCTGCCGGATCAAGCCCTGATCGACGTGTGTTTCTACACGGCCATGTGCTGCTTCTCCTTCCTCGGCACTTCAGTTGCATCCGACCCTCTAAATTTAAGGTTTAGGGTCTAGATTTAGTTTACTCAAATTTGAGGTTTAGGGTCTAGATTTAGTTTACTCACTTGACTCCAACAGCAAGCAAGAAGCACAAGGTCTAGTTTATGGCTTCAGGGGTCCCACAGCCCTCATCTAGCTATCGCTAGTCTGTGCAGCTCCGAAGAAGAAGCCAACAGGGAGTATAATAGCAAGTCTTAAGTATTAAGTCCCTTCGATTTCAAGTTTTTATTCCTCAGTGACGGGGTGCTGGACTCTCGGTCCTTCAACCCCACCCTAAACCCTAAACCATCGAAGCCCTAAAACCCTAAACCCTAATCAGGGCTTAGTGTTTCGCGGTCTGAGGCATGAGGGGCACCCTGGCGCTGCCACGATGTGGGCCTTGCCTCCTACAGCTCCTAGGACCTAGAGTAGGCCCTTATTCCCTTTTCGTAGGATTCAGGTTCCCTTATAATCCCCTTTAAACCAAAAAGGGTACCCTTTTTATTCCTAGGTTACTCTTGGGTCTAGGCTCTTTCTCGGCCGCTGCAACAAGCTACCCGGGCCATGTGCTGCTCAAAGCAGTCCGACGGCAACGGATACCGACAGTGACTCCGCAGGGTCCACGACCACCCAAGGCTCCTAGGCATTCCTCGGCTGTCCGCGCGGAATGGAGTGTTTTGCCGAGGCTGCATAGGTTGCAGTGCTTGTCTTACCAAGTGGCTATCTTGCCCGTGCTTGACGGCATGAAGCATGCATCCCGTAAGTGCCAGCAAAGTCTGGCAATACCCGGCCACATCCAAAACCCTATAGAACCTTAAGGCCTTAGGCATAACACCGCCGCATGGCAGATCAGGATGCAAGCGCCATGGGCGCAACAGGAGGTCGCGTGCGTGAGCCCGCTGCGTGCAGCTTGCGGGAAAAAAATGAGACCTGAAACCGCCAGACGAACGATCCCGAACCCGAAAGCTTTCAACCCAGAATCTGCAAGCCTCAAAGCTTAAAGCCTGCAGCCCGAAATGGCAGCATCCTACAAAGACCAGGAGCTCGAAGCGGAAGATTCGCAAGAGACCTGCACCTGCAGACCCCAAACCATAGCGAACAAGGTAAGTGCTAATTGAACGAAGAGCTAACCAAGATGCAGTGCATTCGTTAACTATGCTGCGAGAATAACTTTGGTGATGCTGTTGTTGATGCTGACTTGACAGCTGTGACTGTGGTAACAAAACTAGGCCACCTAGTGGGCTCTGTTTCCTTCTTTTGTAGTCCCAGGTTCCTTAAAAGGTTACCCAGGACCCAATACCAAAAAGGGAGTCCTTTTTGTTCCTAGGTTACTGGGCATCCTAGAGAAAGCGGAAGCAACGCCTAAACATAGCCGTCGGCACTGGATTCGCCTGGCAAGGACCTTTCGACCGTTCAGGTATACACCTTAGGAGTTTAGGGTTTGGGAGTGTAGGGTTGGGGATCGGGTTTAGGGGTTTAGTGTACGACCCTGATTAAGCAACCTTGGGCCTTTATTGGGGTTCCTTGTGTGAGTCCAACTACTTTCGGGTTATACGCCAGGTTTTCTTACGGCGGCAATCAGGTTCCTACATTGCCCACCAAACCCTTACATGATTTATACAAGCCCCAATCCTACCTAAACCCGCAAGAGCAGGTAAAAGAGTGGCCCAACACCTACAACAGGCCATTATTCCACATACCCTAAACCCTAGACCGGGTTTAGAACATACGTTTGGGGTCCAGGTAAAGTTTAACGTGCCGTCTACGTGCCAGGGGGTGGTGCCCAGAGCGTTGGTCCGGGCTTCGTGAGCGAGACTTGGCTAATTTAGGGTTCAGGCTATACCTACAGTCTCCATTGTAGTTCTTTTTTTGGTTAACCAATTTTATGGTTAAGATCTTATATAAGATTTGAGTCAACCAAAAAAGGAACTACAGTGGAAACTATAGGTAGGATTACGGTCTGCACCTCTTTGGTCTTGTGAGCAGTGTCTGGCTTCGTGAAGCTGTCTTCAGGTTTCCAGGATTCAGACCCCTATGCTAGCTTGAGTCGCGCAGATTCCTAAAACCCGCAGGCCAACAAGCCTTTTCTGCCGTGCAGAACCCGAACCTAGCAAGAAAGAGGCCCACATCACCCCCAATATGATTTGAATTGCTGGATTTTTGCTGTTAACGGTGGTTTTGGGCTTGGGGTGTCTGCGCTTAGACCGTCACCAGGAACCGGTACTAGGCCTGGACTTCAAGCACATTTCGGGTTCAGCATGCATTGCGGGGCAGGCCAGAGGGTTTGTTGTCAGCTTAATAGGAGTAAGAGTTTGAGTTTCAGCGCGAGTAAGCCCCAAACCGTCGGCTGTAAGCCGCCCCAACTCTCACGACTTGGAAAGCCCAGAACTTCCTTTGGACCGGAAATGCGTAAGACGAAGCTCAGGATACCAATGCCTTGCAGCATGCAGCTGGAAGGTGCAGATGATAACTTAAACTTAGGTTTTAGGGGTGGGGCTTTAGGGTTGATTCTATTGCGTTTCGGATCTATGGGATCGTGTGTTTTGAGGGTACATGGTTGGTAGGGTGTTGGTATGGCATAGACTTTTTTTGTTTTGCCAACTTGCCGGAACCCGAAACCCCAGAAAGATCGTCTGAGCACCTTGGCGTTTACGGTTGGCTGATGGCTTTGCTTTGCCATTTGGAAGCTGAACGCGTCTACCATGAACAAGAATTGCCTGAGTTCTAACTCCCCCCCGATCAACACTTATCGAACCTAAACCCAACGCTCTGTAAGATTTATGGGAGCTTCGCAAACTGCAAGACTCCACAGCCCATACTCCGTCATTGCAATCCCTGATGCCCCAAGCTAGTAGGCAACTGGGCGCCAAGTGTTAAACCCTAAGCACGCTCTAGAAACTCTGACTTTCGGATTTAGGGTTAAACCCCCTGACGCTGTGAACCTGAAGCCCTCCAACTTGACACCAAGCCTACAACCAAAGCCTAAACCCTCAGTTTTCCATATACTCCATTCAAAGTGGAACCCAAAAAATACCCTTAAAGGAGCTGCAATTTTATCCTTGAAGGCCCCACTGGCACCCTTAAAGGACCCCTTAACGAAACCCTCGAAGGACGTCCTCACGGACCCCTAAACAAAAACGCCCTAAAAACTGAACCCCTCAACCCCTAAACCCTATACCCCTAAACCCTACACCCCTAAACCCTAAACCCCTAAACTTTAAAACCCTAAACCCCTAAACTTTAAACCGTTATAGATCCCCCGTTGAAAGGCAGCTTTTCACGGAAGCGATGGATCCGGCTACCCTCGATGGGGCGAACCCGAACCCTGGCACGGTGTCTTAGGGCTGTTGGTCTTTAGGGTTAAGGGGTTTAGGATTTAGGGGTTTAGGGTCTAGGGGTTAGGGGTTTTTAGGGTTTAGAGGTTTAGAGTTTAGGGCAGCTTGGAGGCACTTCAGCGCAAAGTATTCCGGGTAGGGGTCCAGCTGCAGGAAATGCAAAGACCGAGTGTTCCAGGTTGCTACTTCACATTGAGGGCTTTGCGCGGGTTTAGGGCGTTGTTTGACCACTCCTGCGTGCTACCTTCCGTGGTGTTGAAGGCTTTTGTTCTGGATTTTGGCTTTTGTGAAACCATGATTCTATCTTTAACTTGGCCTCGTTGCCGGAAATGTGAGGCAGAATGTCAGCAGAGAGGCAGAGTTACATGTTGTTGAGCGTGAAGCTTCAGCATGTCATCACGGATCGTAAGCAGAACCTTAATTCATTCTGCACTTACTCCCTCACACCAGCCGACGTTATTGGCACGACATGCTCAGAATGCTTGCGGCAGTCGCAAGAAGGAGAACCGCTGCTTATGTGTGCCCGGATGAAGCCAGTTGTGGCAGGGATGCTGATGCTGCTGCTGATGATGGTGATGGTGGTGACGATGATGAGCATGAGCATTTGCGAGGCAGTGGGATGATGAAGCCTCATGCCCGTAGCGAAGCCGTTAGACATTAAACTTGAGCCCTAAACCACCAAAAAGCCGCAAACCCAAAGCGTCCCTGGCCGCTTAAAGTCGTTAAGCACCTTCTAAAGATCACAAAATGCACCTCAGTCGCACAAATCCAGATACAATAATTCTGAGAACTATGTAAGACAAATGATAAATCACAACAACAGCAACAATATTTGCGGTAATGATGCTATCATGGACATGATGACACGAGCAGCACAACATGTATTAATACTTCGACATAACAGAAAATCCAGTTAACCAGGCAAGCCTAGGCCAAAACAGCCCTAAACCCTAAACCCCCAAAGCACCAGAACGCCAGACGGCAAACCCAAAACCCTAAAACGCACCAAACCCTGAAATAAACTAAACCCTTAAACCCTAAACCTTAAATCCTACAAGCCCTAAACGCCTTAAAACCCCCTAAACCTTTTCAAAAAACCGCCCTAGAAGGCCCCCAAACCCTAAACTCAACTGTGGTAATATATAGTAGTCGTATAATACAGAAGTAGAAGTAGTGGTAGTATACATATTTCAAACCCTAAACCCTAAACCCTGAAAAAAAAGAAAAGCCCTAAAAGGCCAACCCTAAACTCAACTTCGGAGTTCCAGGAACTTGGCCTCCAAGGGCTCCACCCTCCACGGGACGGGAAGGCCAGGAGGGAGCAGCCCGAAAGCTTCGGGGGGGGGGGGGGGGGGGGGGGGGGGGGGGGGGGGGGGGGGGGGGGGGGGGGGGGGGGGGGGGGGGGGGTAGGGCTCTTGGGTTTGTAGGTTTAGGATATAGGGCTTTTAGGATTTGGGGTTTAGGGCTCTTGGGTTTGTAGGTTTAGGGTTTATAGGGTTTTTAGGATTTGGGGTTTAGGGCTCTTGGGTTTGTAGGTTTAGGGTTTATAGGGTTTTTAGGATTTGGGGGGGTAGGGCTCTTGGGTTTGTAGGTTTAGGGTTTATAGGGTTTTTAGGATTTGGGGTTTAGGGCTCTTGGGTTTGTAGGTTTAGGGTTTATAGGGTTTTTAGGATTTGGGGTTTAGGGCTCTTGGGTTTGTAGGTTTAGGGTTTATAGGGTTTTTAGGATTTGGGGTTGAGAGTTTAGGGCTCTTGGGTTTGTAGCTTTAGGGTTTATAGGGTTTTTAGGATTTGGGGTTTAGAGTTTAGGGCTCTTGGGTTTGTAGGTTTAGGGCTTTTAGGATTTAGGATTTGGGGACTCTAGGGTTGACATAGGTGTCTTGGGTTTGTAGGTTCAGGGTTTAGGAGATTTAGGATTTGTGGTTTGAGGGTCTAGGGTTTGAGGGTGTTAGTTTAGGGTTTAGGATTGGGGAGGGGGGGGGTGTAACTGGGTTCTTATTACTTATTGTTAAGGCTGCTAATGTAGGGAATTTAGTCGAAGTTACCATAATAAGGATCTATAGTATAGTAACATGGTTTCCTTATTCTGGTAACTTAATCTAAAGCCCTCAACAAGAACTCAGGAAAGCTTGGGTGTTGCGGTTTATGGCTTCGGGGATCCGTCCGTGTTTGTAGGGTTTTAGGGTTGGTTTGCATGATGGTATATACTTATAGGGTATTTGGGGGTTCTAAGTATATACCATAATGATACTTGGACCCTTTGGGAAAAGGTTTCGGCTTAGGGTTTTGCGTGTATCACTGACGGGGAT